GGAGCCAGGCTCACTTAACAACCGAGGTACTAACGTAACACCTGAAGTGACTCATTTAACAACTGCGGCACGAAATGGGGCAATACTCACTTAAACAAATGTCAAGAACGACCTGTATTAAGGCATGGCTTGCCTAACTGGGTTTGTAGAATATGTGAAGCCTTCACACCAGTGGCAATCCCATAGTCTACAAATGGGATCCCAGTAAAGTTCAGGATCTATAGTTGTGCTAGGCAGGCACTGTTTTCCACAATGGGATGCTAATCCAAGGCAAAGCCAATAAAAACCGAGCTACAGAAAATAAAATATCATTCCATTCAGTCAAATGCAGTCATGAAGCCTTTTATTCTTGTGATCCAGGCAAACTCAAACTTTTGCCAAGGATGATCTTCTTTTGGAAAAAAACTGTGGCCAGGGTGGTACAAGAGTGTTGTTTAACACAAGGATCCCTCTGTAACTAGACTTCTTGCTTTTAACAAAGATGAGCTCAAATCGCTGCTATTTCACACTTTGCTCCCTCTGGCTTCCAGAGATCCACATTATGTTTATTTCAACTGTCATGGCCATTTTCAAGATGTTTCATTTCTCCTGCTGCTTTGGTGTCAACAACTAAAGCACAAGTTCAAAGGCAAGAAATGGTCCACTGCTTGCAACACACACATATACGCACACTTTTAATTCTGGATTTACTGCACAGTTAATATCTTTATTAATTTCTTCACTGAGCTGTATAAAATACAAGTGCTGTTAACTATGGCCTCCATTTAGAATTTTTAGAAGTTTGCGCATGTGTTAAATCAATTAACACTGCTCTCCCCTTGTACAGTTAATCTCTAACACCTTGGAACATAAAACTGAGATTACACAATTATGCAAGTATCAAATGGAAGAACCAAGAACACCACTGCTGAAAAGCCTTTGTAGCTCTGGGTGGGGGAAAAAAAGTGTTATCACTATGTCTACAATTGGCTTATTTGTTCATAATACCTTCTGCATGAAAATGCTTTATAGTGGGTACAAATTGATATGAGCTTTAAAGATCTTTCTCATTAAACATGATAGTGCAGAACTTGTAACTCTTAAATTGTTTGAGCTCATGAAGAAGATATATTTTAATGGCTTCTTATCACACATCAAACTAAACCATAATGTGGTCTGATTTAGGCTGAATGTATTGTGCAAACCTAGGTACTTAAGGTCTATTCAATTAACTAAAGCAAGTCATACCTTAATGCAGGGGTCTTTAAACTTGGCCCTTTTATGACTTGTGGACTTCAACTCCCAGAATTCTGGGAGTTGAAGTCCACAAGTTATAAAAGGGCCAAGTTTGAAGACCGCTGCCTTAATGTGTTATATAAACCAAGTCTCTTAGCTATATGAAAAACACACTTTCGTGCATTAACTAGACAAATTGCAGTTTCAAGATGAGACAAGAACTTTTATCAGCTACTGATGATTAAGCAGGAAATCATTTTGATATATGATACACAGTACATGTCACCAAAGCCTGTTGTTGACACCTCTGTTAAAACAAAATCACAGGTAACAACACAAAATCTATGCTAAGAGTCTAGGAGACCTACTGTCAGTTCATCCATACAAGAAGTATCAGATGAGAAGTAGAAGTGTAAAGCTGGCTGGAGAATTCTGGAAGATGAAATCCATAAGTCTCAAAGTTGCCAAATTTGGACACTCCATTATACACTACTACTAACTGAAGGAAACTAGCACATGAAACAACCTCATTAATTACTTAATTCAGTAGGTAAATCTAGCATACATTTATTGCTTTGTTATGTTCCAAATCATTTAATCTACAATTTTATTACAATAGAGTGAAAGCTAACCCATTATTTAACAAAGTTTACTTTATTTCCAATCTCTATTGATTCGGTTTAATTAAAACTCTCCAGCAAGCTTTCAGCTCATAATTTAACTGACCATTATGTAACACAAATGTCAACACCAGACTTGCCAGAAAAGGAAATTATGTGAGTGGACCCACTTGCAGCCAAAAATAGTTATTTAGTAGAATTATGATATGGCATGATCTGCCATCTTTAAAAGGAGCCAGTTTAAGTTACAGCTATATTCACAAACGTATAACTGACAAATAAAACTATCTTAGCTGCTATGTTACTTCCCTGATCAGCATCATATTCAGATGTAGTCTAGTATGATTAAACCCTATAATCCCTCATTTCATCCTCTGAAGTTGCAGCTACAAATTTCTGCTTTGGCTACACACAAACATGGGCATCTGTTGCATTCACAAATCATGCTAAGCTAAAGATTTAACTAATGTTAAATGAATAAACCATAGTTCTCGCACATGTGAAGGCATTACGACTGGGCTACTTTACTGTCTTAAATAAACAAGTACATTATCAGTTAGTTTAATATATCAAACTAATGTCTGATATACAATTACCAAAAAAAAGTGGAACATACTAAAAGAAATTTGTATTTTGAAACCCATTTAAACAACATCTAATAATGAAACACCCCAGGAACATTATGGTTTTCTGCTGTATGTGGAATTCTATCCTTTCCCTTGAACAGTTTATACAGACCAGTGAAAAATCTAAGGTCAATGAAGTTCCATTATCTGGATCATAGCCTGATCCACAATGCAGTGAAATAGTTTACTGGATGGGCTCTGGATGGATAAATGCATTGTTCGTAACATAAGGAAAAATTGCAGGATGAACATTGCAGTTTTTAGAAACTGAAAACAAAATACATAAATTATACAAATAAAAAGTATAAGCTGCTTGAAACTCTCCAGTAATCTCTAAAGAATAGAACTTTGACAAATTTGACATATCATTATGAAACCGCTTCCTACAACAATATAAAATCCCATTTTGATGCTATTATAAAATCCCATTTTGATGCCAATTGACGGCAGAGTTTCTTTCTGACCAAAATAAAAAAAACACCCTCACGTAATTTGCGGAAGGAATGAGAATACAACAAGGAAAAAAATGATATACTATTAAAACACTCTAAGACCTCCTTAACCTTTGTTAAATTAATTGCAACCTGCCTCAGTAGTATTGTGCATCAGCTTTCAGAAGACTCTTTCCCACACCCTGCAAAGGTACATTTGTATTCAGAGAAACATCTCTGCCCTGGAATCCTGCATAATGTAACACTAACAGTGACAAAGATTTTTGTTGAGAAAGAAGAAATATTGTAATTCACCTTTGCAACGGCCAACTCAAGAAGGTCATTTCGGCCCAGGAATCCCACTCCACTAAATGCACAGGCCATGTATCTTTGTCAAATATAATCGGGTGTGCAATATCCCTCTTTGCTCACACACACTTCCATGCACTGAAACACATGTTTCGACCGCACTGGGAGGTGCTTAGAGTCGTAAGATCAGAAGACTAGGACCCGAATGTGCCCTTCTGTAGAATAAGTGGATCTGTTCCTGTCTAATTTCCAAATACACATATACACACTGGTTCTCCCCCTCCCATGAAAAGCCTGAGCCTACTTAAGCTTCTGAATGACCCCTCCTCCTGTTTGCAGAGAGCCAAAGCAACTACTCATAGTGTGACCCGGAAATACCTACATAATACTATTACAGGAATGCAAACTGTGTAAAGGTCAAAGCACATCTTTGCACAAGCAACATTAAGGGGGGTGGGGGAGGTGGTGTGGCATTCCATCATGACAGGTAAAGTGTGCCTTTCTTCCCAGACCATGTGCTTCTGGACCAGGGTAGCCAGGCATCCTTAGATTATTCTTTATCAAGTGCTTCGCCATAGTGCCACCCTATTCAACTCAATCCACACTACAGCCTTGGCATGGTGGGGAGAGGATACTTTTTCCCCAATAAACCCCCCCCCCCCAAACAATAACTCTATACCACAAATTCGGCACAAATCCCTCCTGATCCATAACCAATTCTGGTAAAACTTTTTGCTGAATTGACAGGCCTTTCTTATCACTTCCCCAAAGCATCCAAAACTGTGGCTGCTTTGAACTGGATCCTATGCGTGCAAAAGGGGCATCTCAACCCAGCCCCCCAGAAAATGTCCAATCTGGGCTACCGTAGGGGATGAGCATCCAAGGCCCCATTGTGGCAACTTCTTCAGTCCATCCTTGAGACTCAACCTTTTCCAATCTTGAAACCACAAAACAAGCCAGAAAAACCTCCATGGAAGGCCAAGGGGGTCACCCCCAGACTCAAGAGCACACCGCTGCCACCCCTGGCCCTGAGCAGCTGCAGATCCCCGACCATCCCCATCTGCCTCCCACATTGCAAAAGCCCCCCCCTTTTTGCTGCCTTCTGCAAAGACGCTGAGCACCCACCTTTCTGGGACAAGGTGCAATAACCTTGCCACCCTATCTCCTCCCCATTACAGTACTACCCCCCCCCCCATTGCAGACTAAAATGCAATCCTTCCCATAGATCTCAGTTTGCAAATGTTTCCTTTGGGGAGGGCGGTTGCAAAGACTTCCAACAGATCCTCCTCCCCACCCCAAGTCCTGATTCAATAGCACCCCCTCCTCCCTTTCCCCCATGCCTGCCCCCCAGCCCTGCCTCCAAAGAGCCCCCTCTGCTCCCTTCCCCCTCACCCCAAGTCTTGACTCCAAAAACCTCCACTCCTGGCCCCCAAATCCAGCCTCCCAAGAGCCCCCCTTTCTTCCCTTCCTCCAAGTCCTGCCCCCCTCTGCTCCCTTTCCCCCACCCCAATTCCTGACCCCATCCTTCCTGCCCCCAACCCCTATTCCAAAGAGACCCCTTCCTCCCTTTCCCCTTCCCCCCAAGTCCTGACACCCAAGAGCCCCCCCTCTCCTCCCTTCCTTCCCCCACCTCGACCCCCAAATCCTGACCTCCAAACTCCCATCCTTCCCCTTCCCCCCAACTCCTATTCCAAAGAGCCCCCCTTCCTCCCTTTCCCCCCACCCAAGTCCTGACTCCAAAGAGCCCCTCTCCTGCCCCCCAAGATCCCCCCCCCCTCTCCACGGGCTCCCTTCCTCACCCAACCACGCCGGGGCTGTAATTCGTCTTCTTCCACGGGGTGCCGGTGTAGGCCGGCTCCTCCGGCCCGCTCGGCGGCCTCCCCAGGGGCCCGTTCCCCAACGCCGGCCCGCCGCTTTCCCCGGCGGGGCCCAGCAGCAGCGTGCAGTTGAAGCCGAAGGTGCTGGCCTTGTTGTCGCGCTTCCTCTTGTTGCTGGCCGCCGCCGCCGCAGCAGCAGCAGCGGCGGCGGCGGCTACCGGAGCAGCGGGCGAAGCCGCGCGGGGAGCCGAGGCGGCCGGAGAAGGCCCCGCCGCGGGGCCCGAGGAAGACGAAGAGGCGGCGGCGGCGGCGATGGCGGAGGAAGAGGAGGCCGCGCGCGGGGCAGCGAGGGTCGCCTGAGCGCCGGGCCGGCTTGCCCAGGCGGGCGGCTGCGGCGAGGCCTGCCGCCGCGGGGGAGGCTGCGGCTGCTGGTGGGGCAGGCCGGCGCTCTCCAGCGGCAGAAAGTCGGGCTGCGGGTCGCCGCCACGCGGGACGCGGGACATGCCGGGCGGCGGGGACGAGGCGGCGGAGGCGGCGGCGGCCACCGGGGTCGGCGGGGAGCTGCTGCTGCTGCTGCTGCACGACGAGGCGGCCGAGGCGGCGGACGAAGAAGTCGAGGAGGAGGCCGGGGCGGCGGGCTGGGGCTGGGGCGGCGGCGGCTGCTGCTGCTGGAAGTAGAGGTTGCGGACCCCCTGCGTGGTCTCCCAGATCTGCATCCACAGGCGGTTCGAGGGGCCGAGCTGCTCTGGCTGGAACCAGGCGATCCGGGGATCCATCAAACGGCGAGCCGGCCCAAGAGCGACGGGGCGGCAGCAGCGGCGGCGGCTCCTCCTCCTCGCCCTCCTCCTGCCCGCCGCCGCCGCCGCGCCGCCGGGCCAGGCAGGCCCAGCCCCGCCGGCCTCTCGGGAGCGCGGCGCCCTGCGGGGAGCGGCGAGGCGAAGAAGCCCGGAGGAGGAGGAGGAGGACCCGCGCGCGGCCGGCCGGGCGCCTCCCGGCAAAGACGGCGAGGAAGCCGGGCGACTGGCGGGGAGGAAGCGAGGCTGCGGCTGCGGCGGCGGCTGCTGCTTGGCCGCCCCTCCCGGCCAGGAGCGCGGAGCGAGAGGCGAACGAGGCGGGGCCCTGCCAAAGAGGCGGCCGCCGCCGCTGCCGCCCGGGCCGCGCGTAATAAAGGCGTGGGAGGGCGAAGGAGAAGGCCGGGCGGTGGCCGCGGCGGAGGGTCGCCCACGCGGGGAAGGGGTCGCCCGGCGGGTCCTCCCCGCCCCTGCCTGCCCCGCAGCCTGGGATGGAGACGGATCGTCCGCGGCCGGGCACGAAGGGGAGCCCCGGAGGGAGGCCGCCTCAAAGGGCCCTTCGGGGCGCTGGGCCGCGGGAGGAGGCCTCGCTTTGCAGGGGCGCCCCGAGCTTTCCCAGTATATTGGGGGGACAGGGGTGGAGGTGGTCAGGAAGGGTTTGGGAGGGTTTATCCCGAGTCCCTCTTTTGAATCTGAGGGTTCGCTGGTTTATTACATTTACATATATATAACATTTGTATATACATACATAGATAAGAGATATAGAGATATAGAGTTGAGAGGTAAGAGAAGAGATATAGAGATGAGATAGGTAAGAGATGAAGCAGATGTCTGGACCATTTTAGAAATGGTTAAGAAAAGAGGAAAAAAGAGAAATTTGGGATTTTTCATAGAAAGGAGGTTCATTCATGTATTTATCTAATTTATATTCCACCCAACTCTGAATGAAGCTGGGCAAAGAGAATTAAAATGGCAGAAGTACTAAACCTTCATAGAAGGGAGGTTTTGTTCATTCATTTAATTTATATAATAACTTTTCTTATTACATACTGTGGGCCAATAACAAAAATGGCAGAAATCCAAACTTTCATTGAAAATGGGGATTTGCTTGATTCTACGTAGGTAATCTTTACCCTTTTCTTCTGAACAGGCACGCATACCTACAAAACAGGTGCGCATACCTACAAGCTCAGGACTCCAGCCATTTTTATGTTCTCAGGATGCTCCAGGAGGCCATCTGCAATTGAAGGCCATTCTTAGACATCAATGCGACTCTGGGAATAACAGTTAAAAAAAGAGTATTTGTAACTCAGAGTTGAACTGCTTTCTTGCAGTCATTTCATGACCCAACTAGGTCACATCATCAGTGCTAGCAAGATGATCTTAATTGATTGATCTAGTAGGCACTTTCTTCTAACACTGATGATGTGACCTATCTGGGTAATGAAATGTCTGCAAGGAAACAACCAAGCTTAAAACACGAAGGACCCCACTGTTGATGCTTAGCTTTGCGGCCTACAGTCTTCTCCATTTCTTGTTTTCAAACTTATCCTAATCCCAGAGGGCTTTCTTTGTAAACATTTAAGGAGATGTCCTCAGGATATTTTGGTGGATCCCAATAGGATCCCACATCAATGACTCGTCCAAATGCAGTAGCTCAAACTATTGACTCAGCAAAGCTTAAGGTTCAAAATTGAGATAATTACAGGTCTTTTTTTCACCCCCTCAAATCTCTTGCCTTCCTTCTTTTTGCACGTACATGCATGAATAATAAATAAAAGCAAATCTGAAAACATTTTGAGAATCTCAACCTATTTAAGCCAATAATTGCTTGAGACCACTGCCAAATTTCCAGGCATGATCAAAGCCACCACAAAGTTACAAACTACCCTTATATTTAGAGATCATGTTAATTGTGTCTCCTAATCCAGAGTATCAAAGCCTGATGTCAGATTTATTTAATGTAGCTTTTTCTTTCCATTTTATAGTGCATTTGTGCTTAATCACTTTGAAGGAAGATTTTGATTTGCAAATCATCTCTTGGACAGTATCTCCAAAATCAAAAAGGCCAAAGGAACATCTATTAAGTACACATTTTAGTTTTTTCCAATTTTGCTCCAAGTAAGAGCTCAAATGTATCTGTGTAGTCACGTGTATTATGTACACATGCCAGTTTTCATGTGTGAAAAGGGATTTTTGCAATTGCCGATGTATTTCAAAATCTTTACAATATGTAATACTTCACAGATGTATTACTCAGTACAGTGTCCATTAAAATAAGCAATAACATTTTAGCAATACGTTTCAGATTCCTAGTTGGTTTGAAAAGGGTTATTTGGACATGTCATGCATGTCTGAATCTGTCTAAATCTAAATCGGGGGGGGGGAGTTAAGTGAGTTTTATTAGCCTCTTTGTTCCAATTCTGATTTCAACCTCCCCTTTTCCTGAAATATGATTAAAATTGCTTTGAATAGTGTAATTGCAACAATGAAGTTCCACCTATGTCCCAGAAAATTATTCTGAAGCAGCTACTTATCCCATGTTTGTGTTGTACAACAAGAAAGATCAAATATTTAGTATGATTTGAAAAAAAAAATCAGGATGCCTTTGAATCAGTGACACCTGGGGACTACGGGGAAATGTCCATATGGTTCTATTGGTAGCCACTTTAGAAGCCCTTCTTTTTAGGACTAAGACAGAACTGGTCCAAAGATACCCAAAGGATTATTAGGAAGGAGCAGGACTCGGTTTTCCTACTCCTAGTCCAGCAGCTTAGCCAACAGACCAAACTGCCATGTCACTGTTTCCCAGCACAAGATGATATTTTGTTATGATTTGTTCAACAATTTTTTTAGAGTAGGTTAAAAAAAAAGATTATTCTGCAGCTTTCATCTCAAGCTATCCCTTAGAATGTGAATCATACTGGTTGCAATCATTCAGTAACCCAGTTCTGAAATTGTCTTACTCTACTACCTGTAGGAGGAGAGGCAGAGCCTGGGGATGGAGTCAAGAGAGGAATCTGCCTGGAATCGTTACTTTCTCACAAGTGGTCTAAGTCCAGCCCTCCTTGAATTCCATTAATTCTTATCTAGCGCCAATGTAGTGCTGACCGTTGACTACATTTTTGTGCATATGCATGAGCAATAAATCAGTTTGGCTGGAACTTAAGGCATGGTCCTGATTCTTTGCGCCTGATATTAACTTATACCTGTTGCAACTCTTCCTGACAGCCATCATAATAGTCAAGTGAGAAGCTTCGATTACGCTAAAAATCAGGCCAAGTGACTGGCTACAGCTCTCCACGTTTTAAGGGATGAATTTGTTCAACCCACATGGAAATACTAGGATCACATCAGTTCAACCGCCTGGCTGCCAAGAATGGATTGTAACCCTGGGCTATGACTCAACGTGAGAATCCGCAGTCAGTGAAAGCTAAACGATAGTAAATCCAACTTGCAGAAACAAGGATGGAGCAGCCTACGCGCAGCAAACAAGGGAGAGAAGCATCCATACTGATGGTACAAGAGACTGCTTGATCCTGAACCATATTGGTTGCTGGAATGAGTTCCTTAAGGCTTTCTTATTTTTATTTTTTTTTATTAGCTGGCCTTTATTCGATCCAGCCTCTTGGCTGAATGGAGAGAAAGGCTTGTTCGGGCTACACACAGCAAGACATTATTTGACAGTCCCCCAAGTTGTGTCAATTTACTCAGGGTACCATAATTTATAATTTAATCTGTTTTATCATAGTTTATCCAATACAACTATCATAAATTATGGGAATGTCAATTATTGCTATCGTTCACCAGCACTGAATCTAAACACAAAACATAGACTCCTTTTGGTAGAAAACGTAGTTATTTTGCATTTTAACAGCTTTGGGCTAAAGGATTTCAAATACAATATGAAGAAATATACTTCTGTATATTATGTATATTAGAAAAATACAATGTGTGAACTTGGCTGTTATCTATAAAACATTCTTCATATTTGGGCACTGAGAAAACTATTTTTTTACATTGTATTTTTACTTCAAAAAAACAAACAAACAGAAAACCCTGAAGTGTATAATCAAGGAAATCACATTATTTTGTCCATATTAAGAAAATGGACACTTTTTTTATTTTGGATTTTTTTGCTCATTCTTTTTCTAAAAATGGCAAAACATTCCACATCAACGACAAATTTTAACCCTGTGTGGTACTGAATTCATTTTAGCACTTTTGTCTGTCCCCCTTCCCCCCCCCCCCCCTTCAATATAAGACACACAGAAGGAAAAGCAGACCACCGCCCTTGCCTCTGACTAGATCTTTTAGGACTCGTGGACTTCAACTCCCAGAATTCCTGAGCCAGCATGGCTCAGCTTGGAAACCTCTCCCTTTCTCCTCAGCATGGCTGGCTCAGGAATTCTGGGAGTTGAAATCCACAAGTCATAAAAGAGCCAAGGTTGCCTACCCCTGGACTAGCTGTACTACAAGGTCCCATAGACTCCACGGTTAAAATATTCGATAGACTATATCAGAAACAGAGCTTTCCATCCTATTTCTCTTCCAAAACTTTTTTCTTTCTGTCCAACGTCTCTTGATAGGCAATAAATCTTCTTAAATTCAACTTCACGTTGTCTAGAACGCACAGTTGTTCTGTGTTGTACTGTCCTCTGCCTTCCTTTCGCATCTGCAGTTAAAAAAAGAAACAGCCTTGTCAACCCCACTGTGTAGACCAGGGGTAGGCAACCTTGGCTCTTTTATGACTCGTGGACTTCAACTCCCAGAATTCCCGAGCCAGCACGGCTCAGCTTGGAAACCTCTCCCTTTCCCCTCAGCATGGCTGGCTCAGGAATTCTGGGAGTTGAAGTCCACAAGTCATAAAAGAGCCAAGGTTGCCTACCCTTGTAGACCAAAGCAAGAAATCAACTCCAAAAGAATGGCTTATTTTAATACAGGTACAGTACAGATAGCCCTTGACTTTTAATAGTTTGTTTAGTGATCGTTCGAAATTAACAACGGCACTAAAAAAAGTGACTTACGACTGTTTTTCACATGACTGTTGCAGCACAACCCCCCCCCCTTGTAGTGATCAAAATTCAAACACTTGACAACTGACTCATATTTATGAGGGTTGCAATGTCCCGGGGTTATGTAGTCACCTTTTGTGACCTTTGGATAAGCAAAGTCAATGGGGAAGCCAGACTGACTTAACCATGTGATTAATTTAACACCTGCAGTTACTCACTTAACACCTTAGCAAGGAAGGCTGTAAAATGGGGCAACAGTCACTTAACAGTTGTCCTGCTTAATAACAAAAATGTGGAGCTCAATTGTGGTCTTAACTCAAGGACAATCTGTAGCAGAATCTTGCATGCCTGGTTATCCTTTACTGCCTTGCCTATACTCGTATGACGTAGAGAAGTGTCAGCCTAAGCCACTTCGCCTACTTCCAGCCTCTAAACCATTAAGTGAAATCCACTGAAAAACAGAACCAATGCAATCAAATGTGTGAAGTGTTATTACTGAAACACAAGTGAGACTTATTTTCATGTCAGTTGATGTAAACTCTCCTTTCCCTTGTCTTGGAATCATGTCAAAGCTGTAGTGATCTGGTTATTCTGCAACGAATACACACATAATTAACTTATCTTCTTCGTTTTCTGTCCTTTTTGGCCAGGTATATGCATCTATTATGGTGTGTGTGTGTGTGTGTGTGTGTGTGTGTGTGTGTGTGTGTGTCAGGAGCGCCTTGTTTTTTTAGAAAATGGCCTGGCATGGGGGAGGCAAAAAGCTCCAAGACTCAGCCAACATTTTCTTTAGTCATAATTTCTCACTATTTTGAGAAGAGAAATGTACAAAAACGTCTGCGGGAGCTCTAAGTAGGCTGAACTCTAGTTAATCAGTGATTGATTGATTGATTGATTGATTGATAGATTGATAGATAGATAGATAGATAGATAGATAGATAGATAGGCAGGCAGGCAAGCAGGCAGGCAGGCAGGCAGGCAGGCAGGCAGACAATAGATAGTAGATAGAGTAGACCAGCGGTTCTCAACCTATGGGTCGCGACCCCATTTGGGGTCGATCGACCTCTTTTGTGGGGTCGCCAAACGCGGCGATCCGCCATTTTGTCGCCTCCGGGGGCGCGCCGCGCCTCCGGGGGGGGCAGTGCCACGCACACACACTGCGCGTGGGGGCAGCGGTGCGCCTCCGGGGGGCAGCGCCACGCATGTGCGCTGCGCGTGGGGCAGCGGCGCGCCTCTGGGGGGCGCCGCTGCGCATGCGTGCCGCGCATGGGGCGGCGCCATGGCTCCGGGGGGGCGGTGCCGCGCATGCGCGCTGCGCGTGCGGGCAACGCCACGCGTGCGCGCCGTGTGCGGGGGCCCGCCCCCATGCGCGCCGCTCACGGGGGGCACCACGCATGCGTGCCGCGCGCGGGGGCCCCACCCCCATGCGCGCCACGCCGCGCATGCGCATAACGTTTGTGTGACGGGGGTCGCCGTCACACAAACGTTGAGAACCACTGGAGTAGACGGACAATAGATATATGATAGACAGACAGACAGACAATCCAAATTCCTTATCCCAGGAAATAAAATTAAATGGAAACAATATCCATGACCTGCCTGTTTCTACATCTTTATAGCCCCCCCAACTTTCTATTTAAAAAAAAAAAAAATCAAGCAAAGTTGCCAGTAACAAAAAGTCTAGCTATCCCATTTCAAAATGCATTGCTGAAACCACGAGGACTAGCAATGTGGGGATTTTAAAATAAAGTCGATACTGGGATTTTCAGGAAATCAATGAATGAATGCAACTGGGCAAGATGGTTAGCTGTTTAGATGTGTAACCCAGATGCTTTCCTAAACCCCCTTAGCTCTTCATTTTCTCCCCACTCAACGAGGACACTGCATGCTTACCCGTGACTTGAAAATGGGCTGGAATTCCTTTAGCGCATAAAGCAATTTTATTTCCTCCACTGCCTTTTCCGCTTCTTTGCCATCGGCAAAAACATCGAAGAGAGCATCCAAGGCTTCTCCCACCACCACAAGGGAAGGGTCTTTCGTTGCAACATTGAGGAGGAATTTTCCGATGTTCTGGAACAACAAAGAAATGTAGAATCCAAAGGGGAGGGGGAAAACAGAATAACAAAGTTAGAAGGGACCTTGGAGATCTTCTAGTCCAACCCCCTGCTGAAGCAGGAAACCCTATACCATTTCAGACAAATGGCTGTCCAATCTCTCCTTAAAAACTTCCAGTGTTGGAGCATTCACAGTTTTGGGAAGCAAGTATAAAATGAAAGCCTGACCCTTCAGCTGTAATGGGTTGGCTCATAAATTGTGAGCTACCACATCAATATATCACAAAGCCAGAAAGGATATCATCACATCATGGCTTCCTGCACCCACAACTTCTGGAGGCAAGTTGTTCCACTTGCCAGGAAATCTGTCAAGAAATTTCTCCTTAGTTCCAAGTTGCTTCTCTCCTTCATTAGTTTCCATCCATTGCCTTCCAAACAACTGACATCCCCATTAAAAGCAAGATGGCAACTGACTTCACCTTGAGTGTCTCAGCGGTGTCTTCCACTTTGGCAAGCACACTCCCAGCAATTCCTAATATGCTCACAACATTGATTCGGACGCTGACGTTTGTGCTTTGAATTCCAGTGTCACACAGAATCATCAGCTGCTCCGGGGTCATGCACTGTTTAAAAGAAGGAGAAGGAGAAGGAGAAGGAGGAGGAGGAGAAGGAGGAGGAGGAGGAGGAGAAGAAGGAGAAGGAGAAGGAGAAGGAGGAGAAGAAGAAGAAGAAGAAAACAGCCTTTGAGTCAAACATCCTTTTGGCTAACTCCAACCTGGAGGCCTCCAGATGTGCTGGGATTGCAACTCCTGACAGCCACTTTGGGAATGACTATCCCAATAAACTGGGAAACTGTTTTTTTTTTTTAAAGGAGTAGTTTAGTTTTGAGTGAAAATAAATAAATAAAAGGGTGGTAGCATAGTTTTGTGGACAAATTATCCCATATGCTTTAAAAAGCCATCCACAAGCATGAACAGGAATAAAATATATTTACAGAATACAGAATAACAGAGCTGGAAGGGATCGTGGAGGTCTTCTAGTCCAACCCCCTGCTCAGGCAGGAGACTCTATGCCATTCTAGACAAATGGACATCCAATCTCTTCTCGAAAGCCTGCAGTGATGAAGCACCCACAACCTCTGGAGGCAAGCCGTTCCACTGGTTAATTGTTCTCATTGTCAGGAAATCTCTCCTTAATTCTTTCCTTGAGCCTATATAGAATAGAATAGAGCTGGAAGGGACCTTGGAGGTCTTCTAGTCCAGCCCCCTGCTCAAGCAGGAGAACCTATACCATCTCAGATAAGTGACTGTCTAGCCTCTTCTTAAAAACCTACAGTGATGGAGTCCTCACGATTTCTGGGGGTAAGCTGTTCCACTGGTTAATTGTATATTTATATTTTACTTAACTTTATGTATTTCTATTTATTTTATTTATATAAAAATATTCTGCATGTGTTCAGAGGCATTGTCTCCCAGTCCTACTTCATGTTCAGCACTATACGGACAGGTCTAGGGTAAATTACATGCCGATATGTGTGAAACCACACCTCAGGGCTTAAGATTACAGTCAAGTTAGGATGCTGTGATTTGTGCAACAAACCATGGTTTAAAAATTCCATGTTAGTATGAAACAAGAACCTATAGATTATGGCTTTGTGTGCTGGATTCGGACAACATGAAACTATGATTTATTCAACAAGGCATAATTGGGGAAGCTAAGTTTGAACTAGACATCTTTCGGGTTTATTGTTTCTTGCAAATGGATCCTGTCTCTGCATGATGAAGCTACACTCATGTCCAGAAAACTCACCTGAGGTATATTATTTGATGCCAACATTTGCAAAAGAGCTCGCAACGCACTGGTGACTGCTTCTAGAAACTCCACTTCTTTTGAAAATTCTGTCCAAAAATAAAAAGCACATTATCTTTGTGCTCAAAACACTAGTGATATAAATTTTGGAAGTTAAGTATGTCCTTTGTTCAGTTTAACAGCTGTGTTACTAATTCAACAGGTGCAGTGATTCACTTAAGAACTGTGGTAAGGAAAGTCGCAAAATGGGGCAAAACCCACTTAACAACTGTCTAGCTTAGCAATCGGAATTTTGGGACCCAATTAGGATTACTCCTATGGAGAAAACACCTCCCAATTTTCTACATATGTACATAAACACACGTGTACATGTGCATGTTTCTAAGTATATATGAGCCAGCGTGATGAAGTGCCTTAAACCACAGTTTCTCAACCTCGGCATCTTTTAAGATATACAGACTTCAGCTCCCAGAATTCCTTTACCTCCATGCTGACTATGGAATTCTGGAAGTCGAAGTCCAGCCATTTTCAAGTTGCTGAGGGGGAAAAACACTGATTTAAGGTTCCCCATTAGAAACCAGAGGACCACGAATTTGAGTCCTCCTTTAGGCATGAATGCCAGCTGGGTGACTTGGATCAGGCCCTCTTGATAGCCATAAGAAGGTAGCAAGAGGCAGCCATTTTCAGAACCCAAAACCTGCAAAAGACTTGTCCTGGCAATCACCAAGAGGCGACACTGTTTCACTGTATTTGCTCACGCCTGCCTTAAATAAATAAGTCTACTCTCCAGGGGCCTGCAAAGACAAAACAGCAGGAAACTCGGTATATTATCATGTAGATATATCAAGCAGCCAGTGCAATTAGCGGAAGGATTGGAAAGAATGAACAAAGGTGGCAGCAGGGAAGAACAAGTCCTGCCAAGCTGGAAAGAGCCTTAAAAATCAAAGCAAACCTGGCTGGGAAAAAATTAATTGAGACAAGTGCTGTGACAGGGATTGAAGCACTGAAGGACCCCCCAGGCTATCCACATCTGACACCAGCAAGATGCTGTGAAGACAGGTGAGCGCTCTGCACTGGATCATGTTCAACCTGAAAGAAAAACAGAATTTTGCTTACTTGCTAACAAAACACCCCAGAAAAGTTGAGCTGCCCAAATCCATCATCGGGTTTTTTCAGAGTAGAGGGATCCTGAGGGCCATTTCAGGGTGAGGGATTGGGGAATTACGTAGGGTAGGCTGTGCATCCTTTTTCTAGTCCAATGTTAGCTGAGATCAGCGTTCCTCAACCTTGGCAAGAAGGGTGGACTTCAATCCCCAGAATTCCATACTGCCTGAGGAATTCTGGGAGTTGACGTCCATCCCTCCTATAGCTGCCAAGGTTGAGAAGCACTGGCCTAGACAGATCCATAGAGAGCACTCTCCTGAGAAGGAGGTAACAAGGAACTGAATGAAAACAAGTCACTTACTTCTTAATCAGAGCCTTCCAAGATGGATGTTGCATACAGACATTGACCGTAACTCCACTAGGGAAAGCAGTTTTTTCCAGGATCTGCACAAAGCAAAGAACAACTGTGGTTCATGGTCAATGTTCAAAGAAGGACCTCAGGCTCCAATTGTTACAAGAGCACAACATCCCTACAGAATGTGGAAGTAACCTCAAGTTCCTGAGACCATCACATTTCGCTTTACTTATTTTAAAGTTTATGAATCCTTTATTGTTAAGCTGCAAAGACGTCTTCAAAAGTCCTTTGGCTACCCATTCCTTCATGCTACGGCTAACAAAACTTCAACAAATGCACCGAGTCAAAAAGGGAAGAGGCTGGAGAATTATGCAGGCATACAACTGCTACCAATATGAATTCTCGTTTTGACAATCCTCCAAGCAGCGGTATTAACACATACTCCTGCCATGTTCTCAAATACAACTATACTAATGCAGGCATTCTGTGAACAAGGGCGCTATGTGAAAGTCAGCTCCTTTGGTTTATAAAAGTTATTAATCAGAAAAGAACCCAATTCATGGGGTCCTTCGTGCTCTCCAAGCTTGCTCGTTTTCTTACAGGCGTTTCCTTACCCAACTAGGTAACGTCATCAGTGTTAGGTGAGCATTTTGAGCACTTAGTGAGCATCTCTGGTGGTCTCTGAGCTTGGTTGTTTTCTTGCAGACGAAGGAAGCAACCAAGCTCAGAGAGCACCAAGACTCCACAGTTCAACCATCAGCTATCACTATTCTCTCGTATAAATCTTGCAGCCTCAAATGCGATGTTTTAGCCAGGTTCTCCTGAAGTTGCAAAAGAGCTGGTTACCTTCTTTGGGATTAACTGGTTGACCAGGGCGGTGTGGATTTCAGCTGAAAGGCACAACGGAGAAAGCAGCTTCCCTTCTTCTTCATAACTGTTATCCAGAAAGGCATCACTTTCATCACTGCTTGATAACTCTTCCCATTCTTCGTCAGAAGCATCTGGAAACAAAAGCCACAGGCATCAACATCCCAAAAGGAAGTGCAGCAACTTTATTTGTATGTTGCCATCTTGAATTCCCCAGGTGCCAGCCTCTCAACCAAACGCCAATTCTTTGGTTGCTGTGCTTCAGAGGTTATAGATGCACCCATTATGAAACCGTATCCTTTTTGAATGAATTGATTGCAATAAGCATGAAGGTGTAAGCCAAAACCCTTTGGGTAGCATTCATTCATACACAATACATTATCTGCTACCCAACAGATTGGGTTCACGCAACATGCAAAGACCCAAGAGCTTCACAATTAAACCGGCCCAACTTTACATGTTGTGTGTATACACTTAGTAGGGCTTTAATTATTCCACTGGGCCTTTAATCAAGATCAAAGGTTTCTGGCATCCATCTATGGCATTTCCACTCATTTTATGACCTACTCCACTGCCACGCAGCCTGTGGATTGGGGTGTAGCACAAAGACTGTGATATAAATAACCTCATTAAGCATCTTGTATTAAAACAGCGACCAAGTTGAGGAAAACTATATTTGAGCCGAGGTGGCGCAGCAGTTAGAGTGCAGTACTGCAGGCCACTTTAGCTGACTGTGTTCAGCAGGTCAGCGGTTCAAATCTCACCGGCTCCAGGTTGACTCAGCCTTCCATCCTTCCGGGGTAGGTAAAATGAGGACCCAGATTGTTGGGGGCAATGTAAATATATACATACATTGCTTACTGGTGTACACCGCTTAGAGAGTGCTTGCACTTAAAGCGGTATATAAGTCTCATAAATAAATAAATTTGTTTTATTTGTTGATTTGTTTATTCATCCATCCAACTTCTACTGCCCACCTCACCTAAGTGCCCAGCTCACTTCACCTCAGAAAAGAGGCCACTGATATATACCTTCGTTGCAGCACATGTTGACAATGATTTCCAGGGCAGTTTGTTGAGCCAAAAGTAACGCACTCGCTTGCTTCAGCTCCTGCTGGCTGCGCTAGGAAGCAAAAAAACCACAAAGCTTTGTCTTCACATCAAGTCAAACATGTGGGCTGGCCCTCGCCCTGAGGTAAACCACGATTATTTAAACTCTGTTTATCCAATTCTAACAGAATCAATGTTGTATCTCTCCCCCCCCCCTCCCCGAATGAATCTTCTCCCTTCCTAGATGATGAGGATTGAGGGAGATAACGACGACAGAGAACTAGACTGAAGAAAGCTTGGGTGGAAAAAAAAGAGAAAAAAATGGAAGCAGGCACAGAACCATTCAGGAGAAGTTCTGGAGCGAAAGGCAAGAATTTCATTGTGGGATGCTAAGTACTTTGGCTAGCTAGTGAGAAGGAAGGACTCACTGGAGAAGGGCCTAATGCTGGGAAAGATGGAGGGCAGAGAAGGACGACAGAGAAGGAGGTGGCTGGATGGAGTCACTGAAGCAGCAGGAGTGAGCTTAAAGGGACTCCAGAAGATGGTAGAGGACAGGAAGGCCTGGAGCAGCAGTTCTCAACCTGTGGATCGGGACCCCATTTGGGGTCGAACGACCATTTCACGGGGGTCGCCAAACAACGCAGTCTGCCATTTTTCCCCCTTTTCCTTAGCTGTGCTACTCCCTTTTATTCTATTGGCTTTTGAAAGCCAATAGAATAGACTCTCTTGAATAGAGCCTAATTCTATTGGCTTTCAAAAGCCAATAGGAATTGTCCAGGCTGTCTCTGCCCTGCTGAGCTCGCCAAAAGTCCGATTCTGCAAACGGTGCTGCCCCAGTTGAGTAGTCCTCGACTTACGACCGGTTGAGTAGTCCTCGACTTACAACCAGTTGGGGGGTCATGGCATTAAAAAGGTTGAGAACCACTGGCCTGGAGGAACGTTGTCCATGGGGTCGCGATGGGTCAGACACGACTTCGCAACTAACACCAACAACAAACGCGAGAGCAAACAATTTTTTTCCAGTCAGCCAACCAAAGTTCCTGAAAGAACGAACTCTCCCTGCAGCCATTTCAAGCTGAAAATCTGGATCTATGGATGGGGACATTTTACCGATAATCCTTGACTTAATGACTGCCGTTAGGACCAGAATTTCTGTGGCTAAGTAAACAATTGTTACGGGAGTCGCGCCTGATTTTATGATCTTTTCTGCCACAGTTGTTATGTGAATCATTGGCGTTATTAGGAGAACCACACGGCCTCGTGGATGTGCCTATCAGAGGCCGGCTGGGCAGGTCACGAAATGGCGATCACATGACCTTGGGATGCTGCAGCCATCGTAAATACAGGCTGGTTGTCAAGTGCCTGCATTTTGACCACGGTAGTCCTTAAGTTACGAGCCCCAAATTTCTGTCCCTAAGTGAGACACTTGTTAAGGGGGTTTTGCCCCATTTTTACCAATTTTTCTGGCCACAGTTGTTAAGTGCATCACTGCACTGGTTCAATTAGTAACAAGTTTGTTCAAGGAATCCGGCTTTCCCCATTGACTTTGCTTGAGTGCAAAGGTTGCAAAAAAGGGGATCATGCGACCCCGGGATGCTGTAACCGTCATAAGTATGAGTCAGTTGCCAAGCGTGTGAATTTTGATGTGACCACGGTGTGTGTGTGTGTGTGTGTGTGTGTGTGTGTGTGTGTGTGTGTGTGCGTGTGTTGCCAGGGTTGTAAATGTGAAAAATGGACATAAGTCCCTTTTTTCCCCCAGTGATTGTAAGTTGTAAGTCGGGGACAACCTGTATTACGACCATAAGCACAAGGACCATTGTAGGTCACTTTTTTCAGCGCCATTGCAACTTTGAATGTTCGCTAATGGGGTTTTTGTAAACCGAGGATTACCCTGTGCTTTGTCTTATCTTCATAACTCAGGCCCTGGTGCTCCCCTTCGGAAGAACAGATCAGCCACTTACTGGCAGTAGATCCAACAGGTCCTTCTCCCCTTGAGTGATCCTTCCAGTTTCCTCTTCCATGCTGTTCTCGTCTATCTGTGTGGTGCTACCTCCGTTCACGCCATTTCCTTCCACCGAAGTCTTCAACCTTTCCGTTTCGGCTTCCTTCATCCGAACAACTGTCTCTCCGGCGTCCACCGCTAGACAGTCCGAGAAAATCTTTAGGATAGCATTGATGGTTCCCGCCTGGCTGCCCGAGGGCACGGTGCTCTTTACGTTCCACGCTACCCCTGAAGCAACGAAAAAGGATACGGCGGAGATCAGCCCGCCAAATCGGATCACTGCAACATCAAAGAAAGGGACAACTCTACAGATGGCCCTTAACACCTGTGAGGTTAGCGAAAATGTTTAAAAATATGTCTAGCCATTGTTGGAAATGCGGACAAAAATCAGGCACAGTACTATCATCTTTGGTGGACATGTCCTAAAGCCAAAAGGTTTTGGTCAAGAATACATATATGGTTAGAGAAAATGACTAAAAAAAACAAAACAAACCACATAGATTTTAAGCCAGAATTATTTTTGTTAGGTACAATTGTAGGAAATTGTGAGAAGGAATGTGTATATTTAATGTTACATGTATTAACTGCAGCGAGAATTGTATTTGCTCAACATTGGAAAGGTGAAGAAATACCAGCGGAGGAACAGATAATTAAGAAAATTTTAGATTGTGCAGAAATGGACAGACTGACACTGAAAATGAAAGAGAAAAATTTAGAATACTTTAGAACATGGGATACATTTTATCAATGGCTAGAAAAACGAGGTAAATGAGTTTAACATGCATTAGTAAGCTAAATATTGAAATCCAGACAATATGTTGCTGATAAAATATTTAGGATTTGTGATTATAAAAATTAATAAAATATTGAAGAAAAAAAAAGAAAGGGACAACTCCAAAGCACAACCACAAAAGAATCCTTCACTATCTTGCTTTCTGGACAAATTGTAACACAACTGGGCAGTTTAATGCATGGACGCTGCTTTCTGTTTCAAGAAAAGTGCTTTCATTTCCTGACTACGCAAAGCCCAGTTTGTTAGCCAACTTAAAAAAGAGCTGAACCAAGTAATTGGCATGCTCAACAATCGACTCGCTCAATATTGGCCAGGTTCACACAAGTTGCACCAAGCCAAGGTTACTGAACAACGGTATGCTGAACAAGCCATCATAGTCCGAAATGAAAGACAAAAATAAAACCTGTTCTAAACAGGCCATTCTCTACTTTTAGACACACTCAGACATCACAGAAAGGAACCCATAAGAAACAGAATCGAACAGTAATAAAATAACACAGCTGGAAGAGACTTTGGAGGTCATCTAGTCCAACCCTCTGCTCAGGCAGGAAACCCTATACCATTTCAGACAAATGGTTGTCCAATCTCTTCTTAAAAACTTCCAGTGTTGGAGCATTCACAATTTTGGGAAGCAAGTATAAAATGTAATGGATTGGCTCATAAATTGTATGACCCAGCTGTAATGGGTTGGCTCATAAATTGTGAGCTACACATCAATATATCACAAAGCCAGAAAGGATATCATCACATCATGTCTTCCTGCACCCAATTTCCAACTGGCAGCTTAGACAGGATCTTTCCCCAAAGCCACCTGGAGATGTTAATGTCAAAGCAAATCACATTCTCCAATTAGTTTGAAATGCAGGCTTTCCCTCCTTTACGCCAACCCGCCATTTCTTATCATCTCTTATTTCAAAAGCCCTGAATTCACACACTATTACAATATTGTTATGTCTAACTAATTTCCCATCACATTCCTCCTCCTTCCCCAGCATCATCTAATTCTAAGAGTAAAGCATAAGAAAGAAAAAGGCTGCATCTCCAGATGTTGTCAAAGCAAGAACATCCAAGGTTAGCAGGGTTGACAGTTAGATTGAGATCCACGGAAGGAATTCCCACACACAAATCATGGAACTGGGACTTCCCCTCCCCCCCCACACACACATTCTGGCGCATCATTGCTACAGCGCAGGGATGGCCAACTATGTCAACTTCACGACCTGTGGACTTCAACTCCCAGAATTCCTGAGCCTGCCACTGCGATTTCTTACCTGCCACCAAAGTCCGCAAAAGGATGTGGTCCATATCTTTCTCTGATGATAACATGACCATTTCCAGCACCTGATGCGCAGATGCATCGAAAGATGATAGTAGATCTGGGTTGTCTTCTGTCACCGTTTGTAAACAGGATGCTGTAAAGGTGGAGAATATGTTTAAACGTAGGCCGCAGATCCAACTCGGAAAGTCATAAATCAACCTTCCAAGAGTCGGACAACAGACAAACAGCTTCAAACTTCCAATAGCCCCTTCTCTTGGTAAATTATATAGACAGCCTCCTGCCGGCAGGAAAAACTGTAACAAAAATCTCCAAGAAGAAAGGTTATCTGCCATTTCTTACCCGCAGCAATAGCCAGCTCAACATTTGTATGAAACCTCTTCAGATATTGTAGAATAACATCTAAGCATCCTTCTTTGTTGAATATTGATACGGCTGTACTGTTGCATTCACTGGTAAGAGACATTAAAGAAGGCTTAGTCAATCCATCTCCTTTATAAGCAAAGATAATAATTATAATAATAATAATGATGATGATGATGTTGGAAGGGACCTTGTTGGTCATCGAGTCCAACCCCCTGCTCAGGCAGGAACCCTACACCATTTCAGACAAATGGCTGTCCAGTCTCTTCTTAAAAACTTCCAGTGTTGGAGCATTCACTGCTTCTGGAGGCAGATTGTTCCACTGGTTAATTGTTCTAATTGTCAGGAAGTTTCTCCTTAGTTCTAAGTTGCTTCTCTCTTTGGTTAGTTTCCATCCGTTGCTTCTTGTCCTGCCTTCAGGCGGCGCCTTGGAGAATAGCTTGGCTCCCTCTTCTTTGTGGCAGCCCCTGAGATACTGGAACACTACTATCATGTCCCCCCTTGTCCTTCTCTTTGTTAAACTAGACATCCCCAATTCCAGCAGCCGTTCCTTATATGTTTTAGCCTCCAGTCCCCTAATCTTCTTTGTTGCTCTTCTCTGCACTCTTTCTAGAGCAGCGGTTCTCAACGTTTGTGTGACGGCGACCCCCGTCACACAAACGTTATGCGCATGTGCGACGCGGTGCGCATGGGGGCGGGGGCCCCGCGCGCGGCACGCACGCGCGGCGCCACCCCCCGGAGGCGTGGCGCCGCCCCCACGCGCGGCGCCACCCCCGGGAGGCACGGCGCCGCCCCCACGTGTGGCCGCATGCGTGGCGCCACCCCCTGGAAGCGCGCCGCCGCCCCCTGGAGGCGCGCCGCCACCCCCGGAGGGAACAAAATGGCGGATCGCCGCCTTTGGAGACCCCCGGAAAGAGGTCGATCGACCCCAAATGGGGTCGCGACCCATAGGTTGAGAACCGCTGTTCTAGAGTCTCAGTATCTTTTTTAAATCATGGTGATCAAAACGGGATGCAGTATTCCAAGTGTGGCCATTTAGAATGACTGTGTGCAGTTAAAAAATGATTCCAGAGAACGGCTTTGGAATTCAGACCAGCGTAGGATCTCTCTGATAAGCATTAAGGCAGGGGTGTCAAAATGCCGGCCCGCAGGCCAGATGCATCATAGCAAAACCACCCCCTCATTGCCGGCAATGGAAAAAAAGTCGTGGATATGTTGTGACACATCACATGACATTGCGAGTTTGACACCCCTGCATTAAGGGAAACCTGGCAGGATATATTTTTTTTTGCCAAGTGTGTATTCAAGTCTGAAAGAAGATGCAGCTGCTTTAATGAGGCCACGCTTCTTAATGCAACCACATCACTTTTCAGCCTTGAGCAGAAGCCTGGTGGGAAAAATCCACACTTGCTTCTTCCAAACAAGGTTCAAAATATCTACAGCCCCTAGCAATGATTAGTTTCCAATGGAAACCTAAATGTTTTACACAGTAACAACAGGACACAAAAAAGATGACCTTCTACCAACTGGGATCCATTCATCCTTCCCTAACACACCCATACAGTGATATGAACAACTCATTTTATTTGTAATGTGATTTCCACTTTCTCCAATCCTGCCCAGTTGCACCAACTGTAAGACACGGTTAATGGATTCCCTCTTCCCCAAATATCCTCTGATAGCCCTGAAACCAAGAATTTCACAACCACACTTACCACACATTCCACAGCAAATTCACACCTTCGTTAGCAATGTCCTCAGGATGGTTCTTCTCTGCCTGCTTATCTTCCTTCAAGGAACTATTGTTTTCTATAAGTCCTGCCCGGCACTGTTTGAATCAAAGTAGACCCAAAAAGAACAAATGAAACAAAATCTGATGGGAAGAATGCAAGATATTCTTGCTTTCACGGATCTCTTCCAAATTCATTTATTCTTCAAAGGACTTTCTGGATACCATTTACTACAGGCTACTTCACCCATCGCTTTAAACTCAAGGCAGGTTGTTTCCTGCTACCCCAGTCTGTTGAATGAGCCTAACTATTCTGGCTTGTCAGCTGTGGTTTGACAGTTTACCGTAACTGGTGAATCCAGCCAACTGTGGCTGTGCTTTATTGTATCTTAGTAGTCAGGTAACATAATTTAATCAACCTCGGAGGAGCTTGAAAAGCAAAGCTTGGACAAACCTAGCTATTGAATGGTAGACTATCAGGAAGGCCTGTACCATAAGTTGAGGCTGGAGTGGAAAACAGCACAATATCTGAGCTCATTAAAGCAGTTCCCTCTTTTTTTCAGGCTTGCACTGAAGTCCCAAAAAAAGAGACGACCGCTTTAAAGAGAAGCTGTGCTTATGTACCCATGCGTTATAGAACATCTTTCAATGCATACACAGATCTGTAGTAGGGTAGAGATGCCCATTCTAATCTTGCATTTGCTCTGAACTGTTGGCTTTAGGGAAGCATTTCACTGATTATATTCAAATATTTCTCAAAACTTTAAAACATTTTTTGTTCATTTTAGTTTATACATGTTTTGTAATGAGTACACGAGCACAGCATCTCTTTAAAATAGTCGCTTCTTTTTTTTCCTGAAAAAGAGGCAGCTGATTTAATAAGATTTTGTTTTCGTGGCAGAAAAACAGTACGCTCTCTTTAAAGAGAAGCCGTGTTCAGGTTCCCGTATATTCCAAAGCATCTTTGTGGAATTCTTTTCAAAACACACACAACGTACCTCCTTCAACAACGCTACAAGAGGAGTCATGATGTCTTTAGTGACCATATCGTTGCAAACTTCAAATCCTCCACAGGCACTGAGGTTTCTGGAACAAAGCCAAATTTATCCCACATTAGTTTGCAAAGCCAAGTTTATCCCACATTCATAAAGGTTTCTCAAGGAAAGGATAAGTCACAACACAGCAACGATGAAAATGGTGCAATCCAAAACAATCAAAACGTGTCTGAAAGTTTTGAGAAACTTTTTGCTGCCAAATGGAGGAGAAAAAAAATCCTTAATGGGAAGACCTCCCTAGAAACCAGGATGCGAAACATAAGATTTGATCTTGCTCATTTGTGTAGGTCAGCAAGTTTCCAATCACTACACAAAGAGAAAGGGCAGACATTATAATGGGATGTGGGAATGATCTTGGAAGACGGGTGGAAAAGCCAAAGACTAGACAACTGTCTGATAAATAAAATCTGACCCTGCAGAAGGAACGTGTGTGGCAAACAACTCAGAAGCGACCCTCCCCAGTTCCATGCATTGTAAAGGGGAAGGGGAACAGATGCACTTCCCCTCCTTGCAAGATTCTGTTTAATGTATCCTTACAGTCAAGTAGAGCTATAACTTCCAAATGTGCTTCTTTTTTTTTTAAATAATTTTTTATTTTTCCAAACTCTCCCCCATACATATACCGTAATATCTATCAGATGTTAACATACATTCTTTTTACATTCATATATAAGATACTTTTAATAAAATGAAATACATACACATGACTTTTGGTGTTGCTCGCCCATTTCCCCTTTCACCGTATCCACACTCCTTCTTCTCTACCTTCTTTCTCCCTTTCTTCTCTTCCCTACTTCCTTCTTCTTCCTCTCCTCTCCTTCGCCACTCTCCTCCCCTTTCTCCCCACTTCTCCTCTTCTCCTCCAACCTTCCTACTTCCTTCTCCCCTCCTTTACTCTTTTCTCTCTCCTCTCCTGTCTTCCCTCTCATCCCTCTTCAGATACAATTCAGGGGTAATGTCCGAGCAACTCCTCTCTCCAAATTTCCCTATCTGTAGTATATACAATAAGATTAATACTTCTATTTATCTAACCTTCTCGGTATATATTTCTATAAACATTTATAGAAGAGCCGAGGTGGCGCAGCAGTTAGAGTGCAGTACTGCAGGCCACTTTAGCTGACTGTGTTCAGCAGGTCAGCGGTTCAAATCTCACCGGCTCAAGGTTGACTCAGCCTTCCATCCTTCCGAGGTAGGTAAAATGAGGACCCAGATTGTTGGGGGCAATGTAAATATATATATATACATTGCTTACTGGTGTACACCGCTTAGAGAGTGCTTGCACTTAAAGCGGTATATAAGTCTCATAAATAAATAAATAAAATGTGCTTCTTATCTGGACTACCTCACAAGGCCTGTAGAAACTGAGTAGAAATTGCAAAATTCACACCAAGCCCATCTAAGCAGACGTTCAGGAACAGAATGACAACAAATAAATTTCTCAAAGGTGTAGCAAAGCCGTCCAGACTAGGTCTGTTGCCAGTACAGTAACCCCAGGTTTACTGAATGTAGCCCCGATTTCATCTGCGCCATGTACTAAGGACCCCAAAGAGCCTATCTAAGTTTTGGGCCAAACCTCTTTCTCTCTATCGTCCATCACTCACCGGAGTGCTCCTGCTGCCGTCTCCCGAACCACTAAGCTTGGGTCAAGCAGCAACGGGCCCAGCCGCCGGACCACATCTCGTTGCACAAAAGCCGGGATTGTTTGTTGCTGCTGCAACATCTTGGAAATGTTGGCGCAGGCAAATTCACGCACGTCGGCATTGGGGTGCTGCAGCTGGAAAGGCAGAGAGTAGGGAAGGCAGGTACAAAATGAATAAACGGAATGATTACGTCTCAATAGTAGCTCAGGGTTGAAATGACAGATCCTTGGTCCTTTGTGAGCTTTGTAGTCTTCTTGCGGACGTTTCATAACCCAACTAGGTAACATCATCAGCGCTGGCATGATGATCCTAATCGGGTAACCTAAGAAACGCTCCCCTCTGACATTGATGGTATTTCCTAGTTGGGTAATGAGAGGCCTGCAATAAAGCCACCAAGCTCAGAAAGCACCAAGGATCCTTAATTACCAAATCCATTTTGAAAATTCCTGGAAGGCCTTTAAATCTATGCACATCCTCCCGGGCAGATGCAGATCACATTTCCTCCACCTCAGATCCAAACACACGCAAGTCAAAGCTATTTTAGATGGGTGGCTTCAATTCCCACCCAGTGCTGCAGCCCTGAAGTTTTCCACACCCTTAAAATTCTTATATTCCTTGTCTTTAAAACCTCACTTGCTAAGGATACTCCTTGCACTCTGCTCTTTGGTGCACTTTCCACCCCCAACCCACTACCTACTCTTGGGCTGCTCAAAGTTTAGCAATCTCATTTGAGGATGCCCAGAAGTGAACTGGGATCTCTTTTCCCAATTAGCTGGCAACCCCGCTTGCAATTTGCAGCGTGCCAGGAGAAGCCATCATTCACCCTACTTCACCTCCCGGTTCGCCAGTACCCCGGCTGGCCCTCTCGCAGCCCTACAAACTGAATAACAGAGCTGGAGGGGACCTTGGAGGTCTTCTAGTCCAACCCCCTGCTCAGGCAGGAAACCCTATACCAGTGATGGCGAACCTTTTAGAGACTGAGTGCCCAAACTGCAACCCAAAACCCACTTATGCATCGTCGGGTGCCAGGTGGGAGTGGCCCATTGGGTGGGTGTGGCCCATTGGGTGGGCGTGGCTGCAGTAGTAACAGCAGACTGGATGGGACTATAAAAGTTCAATCAATTCTAACTTTGCAAGATTTTTTTTTCCACGAGAAGTTGAAATTGACTGATTGATTGGACTTTTTTTTTTTTTTTTGCACATGGCAGCGGAGACCTAAAGCAAAAAGGTTTTATAAAACCCAGCTGAAGGCCTAGGACTGGGGCGACGGCGTGCGTGCCCACAGAGAGGGCTCTGAGTGCTGCTTCTGTCACCCGTGCCATAGGTTCGCCACCACTGCCCTATACCATTTCAGACAAGTGGTTGTCCAGACTCCTTTTAAAAACCTCCAGCTATGGAGCACCCACAACTTCTGGAGGCAAGCTGTTTCACTGGTTAATTGTTCTAACTGTCAGGAATTTTCTCCTTAGTTCCAGGTTGCTTCTCTCCTTGATTAGTTTCCATCCGTTGTTTCTTGTCCTGCCTTCAGGTGCTTTGGAGAATAGCTTGACTCCCTCTTCTTTGTGGCAGCCCCTCCAATATCAGAACACTGCTATCATGTCATCTCTACTCCTCCTTTTCACTGGATTATCCATACCCAAATCCTGCAACCTTTCTTCATATGTTTTAGTTTCCAGGCCTTTAATCACCTTAGTTGCTCTTCTCTGCACTTTTCCCAAAGTCTCAGCATCTTTTTTGCAATGGGGTGACCAAAACTGGATACGGTATTCCAGGTGTGGCCTTACTTAGGATTTATAAAGCGGTACTGATACTTCACGTGATTTTGATTCTATGCCTCTTTCCTAGACTAAATCTCCCCAGTTCCTGAAACTGTCCTTCATACGTTTTAGCCTCCAGTCCCCTAATCATCTTCATTGCTCTTCTCTGCACTCTTTCTAGAGTCTCCACATCTTTCGTCTTCCTACACTGCTTCAGGTTTACAGGCAGTCCTCGACTTACAACAGTTCCATTCAGCGACCGTTCCAAGTTAACAACAGCCCTGGGGGGAAAAAAAGTGACTTATGCCCATTTTTCCACACGCAAGCCCGTTGTAGCCTCTCCACGCTCAGGGGATTTACACTGGGAGGCTTGACAACTGGCTCACATTTACGACGATTTGCAGCGTCCCGGGGTCGTGCAGTCCCCATCTGTGACCTTTGGACACAAGCCAAGTCAGTGGGGAAACCAGATTCGCTTAACAACCGCGGGACTCCCTTCACAACTGCAGCAAGGAAAGTCGCAAAACGGGGCCAAACCCGTTTAACAAATATCTCAACTGAGCTGCATAAATGCCCGGCCGTAAGTCGAGGACTACAGACATCTGCAACCCCTGCCACCGTTCCTCGTAGGTTTTAGCCTGTAGCGAAGCCCCCTCCCCTTTCTCTCCCCCCCCCCGACCCGTTTCCCACGCCCGCAGCCCGCCCAGCAGCGGCCCGGCTCCCTTCGGCTGGCCTTCAGTTGGCAACCCGCCTGCCGCCTCCGCCTTGCCTTCTCCAGCAGCTCGGCGGCCGGGGAGCCTTCCTCTTCGCCCGCCTCGCCTTCCGCCGCCGCCGGCTCGCCCAGGCTCCCGGCTGGAGCGAAGGGCGGCGGGCGAAAGCGCCGGGCCTTGGTCTTGCCCATAGCCGAAGCGCCGCCGCTGCCCTCCAGCCGAGGCTCCCGGGACGGGCTGGCCGGCCTGCCCCACGTGTGCGGCTGGGGCGCAGGCGCCGCCGCTCTCCGCCCACGAAGCAGGCGGGGAAAGGGCTGGCCGGCGGCGGCGGCGGCGCCTGGGAAGACGGAGGGGCGGCTGGGTGGGTGGGTAAGGGTCTCCGCGGATCTCCAGCCGGGCGCCTCTGCGTTTCCCTCCGCCCCCCAAACACACACACACACACACACACACACACACACACCGCCTCTGCGTTTCCCTCCGCCCCCCAAACACACACACACACACACGCGCGCGCGAGCGCACACACACACGCACACACACACCCGGGGCGGAGAGAGACGGTCGGAAGTCCGCAGCGCGCTCAGCAAGCCCTGGTTGGCTTGGATTGCAGTTGGCTTGCAGTCCGGGGTTTTTTTGAAGGAGAATGATGTGTAGCTCGGGGTTGGTGCTCAAGCTTGGTTGCTTTCTTGGAGAGGTGTCGTTACTCAAACTAGGTAACATCATCAGTGCTAGAAGGGAGAGGGGTTTGAGCAGGAGGAAGAAGAAGGAGAAGGAGGAGAAGAAGAAGAAGAGGAAGAAGAAGAAGAAGAAGAAGAAGAAGAAGAAGAAGAAGAAGAAGAAGAAGAAGAAGAAGAAGAAGAAGAAGAAGAAGAAGAAGAAGAGAGGAGGAGGAGAACAACAGCAACAACAACTGTGGGGTCCTTGATGCTCTGTGAACCTGGTAGTTTTTTAGCAGGCATTTCGTGACCCATCTAGGGAACATCATCAGTGCTACAAGGGAGAAAGTTTGCAGAGAGGAGAAGGAGAAGAAGAAGAAGAGGAGGAAGAAGACAACAACTTTGGGGGGTTTTGGTGCTTGGGGTCCTTGGTGCTTTGGGGGTTTTTGGTGCTTGGGGTCCTTGGTGCTCTTTGAGCTTGGTTGCTTTCTTGCAGACATTTCATTACTCAAACTAGGTAACATCATCAGTGCTAGTAAGGAATGGGATGTAGAAGTGTTTAGAAGAAGCCAAGAGTAAACAGCCCAACCCAAGACCCTCCAAGACCACCCCAGGGCAAGCCACTAGAATAGAAATAGAGAGCAAACCCCACTTCTCACTAGCACTGGTGATGTTACCTGCTTTGGATAATGAAACGTCTGCAAGAAAACAAGCAAGCTCAGAGAGCACCAAGGACCCCCCCCCCACAGTCCTCCTTTCTGCAAACCCTCCTTCCTTCTAGCACTGGTCATATTACCTACTTTGTAACGAAAGGTCTGCAAGAAACGAGCTCAGAGAACACCAAGGACCCCAAAGTCATCCTTTTCTTCCTCTCTGCCACCCCCTCTTAGCGCTGGTGAAGTTTGGGTAATGAAACATCTGCAAGAAAACAACCAAGTACCAAGGACCCCTAACTTCCAAGCTATTTTTAGAATTGTAAATTGAGAAAGATTTCTCTTCACTGCTAGACTGCCATAAGATGCTTTGAAAAAAGCAGGCTCAGTCACTCCGGAGCTTGACTTTATTCAGTGGGATTTTTGAAAAAAGCAAAAAGACTAAAGTTAACAGTAGATTCCAAGTTGCTGACGATTTATAACACAAATGATAAAAACGCTTAGATTTTTTTTCCCCCTGCTCATAGCTATAACCAAAGCCTCATCTGGTTTTCCTAATTAGTTACAAAATCTTTTGAGCTATTTTTTAAATGCAGTTTAAGTGGATGGCAAGAGAGGAACTTTCTTAAAATCATGAAGTCAGTTACGAACATTTTTAAATAATTTCTCTACATTTTTTACGTTTAGTTAGACATCCTACCAAATTCTTCTGCCTAGTGGAACAGCCTTTATTTTTAAGCTACTATATTTTGAAACCTCCACATTTCAACGATCTTTTTCTTAAATCGTGAAAGATTAAAGATCCGCTTTAAAATACATAAGGAAAATGTGCCCGGGATCACAGTACGCATTTTTATTATATAATATAACTCTTGGATAATAAATGCAAGTTAATTTTGCATAAAACGATAAAACAATGTCTTTCATACCGGATTGTCGCGAAAAGTCAATCTCTGCAGAAGATGGGAGAGCGAAGACATTTCTCCATTATGGAGATGGGTGCCCGCCAAATTTTCTTCCAAGTTGTCTGGTATCTCATCTTGATTGAGTTTCATCTCCCATATAGTTACTATTCAAATCCTCCTCGTCAATAGGTTATCTCAGTACAAAGTGCAAAGCTGCACTGGCGGATCTAAAGTAATCTGTCTTAATGGAAAGGATACTTTTTCTCATAGGCTAAATAGTTTCAGACAGGTCCAGACTAGTCCCTGAGATCGGGGTGGATGGAAGAGACCGCTTCCGCTGCTGAGGTTTATTGGAAGTTTAACAGCCGGATGTACTTCCAATACATATTCTAGTACTACGAGATTGCTAATTTGCATTCTTTCCCCAGCAAATTTTCTCTTAAGTCGGTAAGACGTTAACAATTCCTGAGATTTTAAGACACAGTTCCCAAGTGCAGAAAAAAATAATAGCAGAATTTGAAAGAGCTGTTGTGAAATGTTTTGCTGACTTCAAAAGTTCTAATTCAGCTGTTTTCAAACTAGGCAACTGGACGATGTCTGGACTTCAATTCCCAGAATTTCCCAGCCAAAAGGCTCCCATCAATGGGAAAAGCCCAGTTGCAGCGATGTACAGAATTGGGTCTATGGCAGTAGTTCTCAACCTTTCTAATGCCATGACCCCATAACACAGTTCCCCATGTTGTGGTGACCCCCCAAGTGGGTGTGGCCACCAATAAGAGGGAGTAGGACAGCTAGGGAAAAGGGAAAAAAATGGCGGACAGTGTGGTTTGGCGACCCCCGTGAAATGGTCGTTCGACCCCAAATGGGGTCCTGACCCACAGGTTGAGAACCACTGGTCTATGGCAAGATGGACTGAAAATGCTGGAGTCTTATCATTCCAATTACAAAGATCTGGCTCACCATAATTTGGGGAAATTACGGGTGAGCACTGGGCACGCACTCTGTTCTCTTGTATTTTGCAAATTTGATTTTAAAAACAATTTAGTACTGAAATGTACAAAAATGAACTAGTAAGGTTATTTTCAACATCACATTAATGTAACGGCTGTATTTGGGCCCTTTATGGGTAGGCTTTCGACTTGGAAAAGGGGATCACGTGACCTTGGAACTCTGCAACCGTCATAAATATGAGTCAGTCGCGAAGCGTCCGAATTTTGATCACGTGACTATGGGGATGCTGCCACAATCATAAGTCACTTTTTTCAGTGCCGTTGTAACTTCGAACAGTCACTAAATGAATTGTCATAAGTCAAGGACTACCTGTATAGTTCTTTCATCAGCTAAGATTTTTTTTTAAAAAAAAAAGTAGAATGGGGCTGTAATAGATAATCATATCCATAATTAAAAGTGTTAAGGAAAAGACATTATTCTTTGGTGACAAAAAGGCTGATAATTTTATAAATTTGTTGGCTGGATAAGGTGCTACCATGTTATTCCTGCTTATAAGTCATTTTACTACAAATAGGAAAATGTATAAATCATTATGCTCTGCTGTTAAAATTTCTTGCTATAAATTCATGCTACGTGGCTATTTGTAGAGCTATTACAGAGACCCAACAATTATATTTTTGTCCTGTAGAAATCAACTGTATTTTGCAATTTTTCTCCCAATAGAATTTTCAGAAGTTAGTGATTTCAGAGGTTTTACTTCCAACAAACACACTCTTGCATTTTTTTTTTAAAAGATCAAACAATAAAATATTTATTTAAAATGCAATTCCTACAAAAATGTACAGCTGCTTAAAAACCACGGGGACGTAAGGAATAGAGAAGACACTTCAAGAGCAAAAGAAGAAAAATCAAACTTTGAGGTGCATTTATTAATCCAAGAGATTTCTTTTTCTACAACTTCTTGCACAGTTAAGGTTCCCTTTGGTCTCAGTTGTGTCTTAAAGAGCAATGCGCTTATTAAAATAGTTTGTACATTTAAAAAAAAGGCGCAAAGATTTAAAACTAAATTCCTGGGTCAGTATTTTAAAAGTCACACTGTGACTGTAAGTCACTTTTTTTTTTTTTACTTTAACACTTCTGTGTAACAAGGGTAATTAAAATGGCTGGAAGTGGTTTGTAAAAAAAAAGTTTAAAGAAATTTCCCATATGGAGAAACACCAGAGTCACTTAAACAGTCTAGAATCTGACCTCATGGCTCAAGACATTTTCCTTAAGCAGGTATTTTTGGTGAAAAATACAGCCAAAGAGACCACTTCCAACACCAAAGTGAAAGCTTCATGTCTCCAGTACTTCTACTAACCTAAGCCATGATCTACACCTAGTACTATGGTTTGATAGCATCTCGTAAGGTTTCCAAGATGCTGATGCTTTCACCTACTCAAACATTTGCAGTCTCACCTAGCTACCCCCAAGCTCAGTTTGGTTGTTGTGGGTGTACAATACAAGGCCTACAAGCCTACTTCCCAATCCTTCAATTGCGTTAGGTCAGTTGAGGGCATCCAGCATGCACCAGGCTAAAACAAAAGCCAAAAGAGCAACAAGATGGTTTGGTTAATTTCTGGCACTTCTTTCCGTCAAGTAATATGAAGAACATTTCGTCACATCCAGCAATACTAATTTCATGGCAGAACTCTCCCAATGTTAATTTCAAATACAATACCTTGTTTTTAGGCAGAGAAAAAGGATAACTTGGGAGAGGAAGAGCTTAAAAAACCGCAAGCTAGTGGATAATAGAGCAGGCCAAAGGTGGCACAGAGCGAAAAACTAGGACTAAAAAAAACGAGCTTGTTCATCCGGGCCAAGTATTTGTCTGGGATGTTCCTCTGGCTTCTCCAATTTGCAAAGGCCAAACCTTTATAATTACTAGCAAGAAAATGCAAAATGGGACCCTGAAGACTCTCCCCCCCCCATGTTCTGGATCCAAACGAGAGCCAGAAAGGAAACCAAGTTTACACCGTACAGTCTCTGCAGAGTTGTGGGAAGCAGCTAACCCAACATGGTGACCTGGATGCTACTCTTAAATGTTCCGCTGGTAAGTTCCAGGCGACTGAAGCTGCTGCCGTCAGAAGGACCCCATTGCAAAACGTTAGGCAACATGTCAACCCTCTCTCGTCCATGGGATAAACCGGGATGACCTCGGGATGTGACATGTCAACAAATCAGGTGCCGCAGACGTGGAAGAGGGTAAAGGCTTCGCGATCAACAAACACACGCACTGATTAAAAAACGGTGGCGGCAGATGGCAGTACAAATACTGTAACCGTTTTCTATTTACAATTATTTGCGCATTGTAATAGCGGACGAGTCTCGGAGAGGCTGCCTCGGTGCCACCTCGCCATTAGAGATGAGGACACAGTAATACTGTCCTAGAAGAAACTGACAACACAAAAGATTGGGGGACGCCAGATGTTTTGCCCTTGTTCCATTCCCACATTGAAGACAAACCTGTTTCTCGGTCCTAATATTTGGCCTTGTTGAACTGAAGAAACAAAATCTGTATGTGTAATTCCACAATCCTCTACAACATCAGTATGTGTAATTCCACACAAAAGCAACGGGTTATTGGACATGGAGCCGAGGTTTCAAGATTAATTTTCCAGTCTGGGGGGAGGGAGGAAAAAAAAACACACAACTTTAAAAGGTAAGATAAAACCAGCAGCATTCTTCCACCATAAGTTTTGTTTCCAAGCTCAAAACTCAACATACCGTAGGAAAACAGAGTTACTTACGTCATCGCACGACATGTTGTATTCTGCCAAAACAGTTCGACATCGAGCAGCTATGCTGAAGAGGGTGTCAAAGAAACACACCTTCTCAATAATTGATGGGCTGGCTTTCCTAATTCATTTCGCAAACTGATAAAAAATATTCCTCAACGTCTCACCAAAATATTTAATTTTCCTTCCAACTGCTCAAAAATTCTTTTAAAAAATGCTCATAAGCAACAAATTATATATATATAAATCAAATGAGATTCAACTGCCTTTCTATAACCAGAAAAGGCACAAAACTATATTCTCCTCTTCTGTGGCTTTTCACAAGGGAAAGTTTTAGTCTGGGGCAAAACCTATGCTAGAGTTAAGAGCTTCTTACACTTAAATTACTCTTCTTGTTGTTGTTGTTAGTTGCAAGTTGTGTCCGATCCATCGCGACCCCATGGATAACGTTCCTCCAGGCCTTCCTATCCTCTACCATCTTCTGGAGTCCATTTAAGCTCACGCCTCCTGCTTCAGGGACTCCATCCAGCTACCTCATTCTCTGACGTCCCCTTCTTCTATTGCTCTCAATCTTTCCCAGCATATGGCTAAATAGCATATTAATTAGCTATGTATTGGCTAAATAGCATATTAAACAGCTATGTATTGCACACATTGACCTGGTATTTGCATGAAACCCTTGGAAAAGGATACATTGAGGGCGCCACTACTCTTTTATGTATTCCAGCAAAAAATAAACCAATTAATGTAATACAGCTAATGGTGAAGAATGGATGATTCCATAGAGATGTGAAAAAAGATACCTAGGAGAGAATCAAACAACTATTTATTTTAAGAAAAGCACTCTTACATTGGATGAGTAAACACAAAACTGAAAATCAGAACAGAAAAAAAACTGTAAGGAAGTGAAAATCCCTACTGTACTTTCAATTTCTTTCTAAGCAAATTCTTGGCAAAAAGCAGTAAATCTAATTTCTATTTTTTCTCTGCTGCCATAGGGATTAGCAATCTGATTATTTTTAATGTAGACAGATTCTAGTTGTTAGCTTCTGAAATCTAATCTAAAAGATCCCAAATTATGACGCTCCAGACATGCTTCTAGAATGTGCAGTATTGAGACTCTATTTTGAGAAGCAAAAGTGCTATGTTGACAGTAACGGCATCGCTTAATGTTAGAGGAGAAACATAGCAATTTTCCAAACAGCCTAAAATGCTTGCTAAAATATCCTAAATATCTTCCATGAATCTATATAGCAAATTTAAATGCTAGGACTTAACCCACCTTCTGTGTTTCAGGATCTATTAACCAGTTCCAAGCACCAGTGGCTGTACAGACTGATACCACTATAAGAATTACTGGAGGAAAATTGAAAGGACAAAAATGATGTTGTTACATACAATACATTGGGAATAATCCGTTAACAACTTGACTTATAACTAAAATGGACACTGCCAATTACGGTCTTAAATTGTGAAGGTTGTAATGCTGGTCATCACATAACCAGATCATTTAACTACTTTTTCCCCAGTAGTTGTTAAGCAAAAATCATCCGTATTGTAAACTGCAAGCACAGTCATTATAATAAACTTTACCAAATAATGCACATTTCCATCACACAGCTTTTCAAAATGAGTTTCTTAAAGACACAGATAGGAACAATTTTGATCAAGCATTTAATTGGGAGGTAGGCCTGTCACTTACTTCTCCAGCGTCCAGTAGCTGGTTGTAAACAAGCTATGTATTCAGTTAGCCTTCTTTCAAAAGCCTTGAGATCTAAAAATGAGAGTGAATAACCGGATTAGTCAAAGCCTGCTTTAGAATTTAGATTTAGCACTTTGAAACCCTGGAAACTCCTTTACAACACAAGGTCTACAAAGGACATTTTTGTGCTTTTAAGTTAGTGCTGACTTCCTGCACCTACCTGGATAAGTCCCTGCAGTTTTTTTTTCCCATTCTAGCCGTGACTTAACTGTTGTACCAATAAAGATAAACATTTTTTTTGTAAAATTGGATGATGATGATGACACAGGCACATAATACAATCCCATCCAATGCAGGTAAGTCCTGAACTGAATACTTTATTGGCCAAGTGTGAGTAGACACGCAAGAAATTTGTCTCCGGTACAGAAGCACTCAGTATACTTGCCACAGAAATAACAACAATAATAATTAGGGTCCTTGGAAACAACTCAATAGGTAGACAAAAAACACCAAATTCAATCTGAACGTCTGGTTGACTGTGCGACAAACCATAATACCAATAAAAGGGGAAAGAAGATAATTGATAATATGCAGAGCACAAATGGGATCTGTTATAAATCTATCAACCACCACAATGGTCCAGATAATTGCCATTCATCTGGCCCCTCCCTACAGGCTCATCAGGCAATTAGGTGGGGATGAACTAGATCTGATGAACTGGGACCACCCCAGAGCATCCATCCATCCATCTATCTATCTCATTTGTCTGCCTATCTCTGTCATCTGTGTCTGTCTGTCTGTCTGTCTGTCTATCTATCTATCTATCTATCTATCTCATATCTAATTACATACAGTCTATCTCTTTATATTCATCCATCCATCCATCCACGCACCTCTGCCTCCCTCTCCCTTCTTATCTAATCTGTCTGTCTGTCTGTCTGTCTATCTATCTATCTATCTATCTATCTATCTATCCATCCATCCATAGATCCATATCTATCTATCTATCCATCCATCCATCCATAGATCCATATCTATCTATCTATCTATCTATCTATCTATCTATCTATCTATCTATCTATCTATCTATCTACTGTCTATCTACTATCTATCTACTGTCTATCTACTATCTATCCATCCATCCATCCATCCATCCATCCATCCATCCATCCATCCATCCATCCATCTATCTATCTATCTATCTATCTAACTAACTAACTAACTAACTAACTATCTCTATCATCTGTCTGTCTGTCTGTCTGTCTGTCTGTCTGTCTATCTATCTATCTATCTATCTATCTATCTATCTATCATCTATCTATCTATCTATCTATCTATCTATCTGCCTATCTACATATCTATATCTATACACACACACACACACACACACACACACACACACACACACACACACACACACACACGTCTGCAGTAAATGTGAGAATGACAGTTCAGCAGATGCGGGGGGCGCCAGGTTGGGGAAGGCTGGGGACTTCTGGGTGGCGGGACGTGGGATAACGAGATACACCAGCCCTGGAACGAGGCGAGGAGGCCGGGACCCATCCTCACCTGCCTTACCTTCCGCCTGTTCCAGCGAATTCATCGCTTCGGACGGAGGGGGGACGAGAGCGCTCCGAGACCAGCCGCCCACCGCCTCGCAAAGCCGGGAGCTTCCCTCCTCCGGCGCCCGACGTCAGCTCTCGAACTTCCTTCACCGCCCTCGCATCATCGGCGTTTCCCATTGGGCAGGGTTCGCCCAGACTCCGCCCGTCGCCCAACATGTCTCGCCGCCATTGGGTCTACCCCCTTATGGGCAAGAAGTTGGAAGCGGCTGAAGGGACGGGCAAAGAGGAATGCGCACGCGCGGCTTGCGCGCTCTTTTCCCCGCCTTCCTTTCCCTGCTTGGCTCCGGGCGTCTTCCAAGTTTTTAGGAGCGTTTGAAGACGTTTAACAGTTTTTCTTTCTTTTCTTTTGTTTTCCTTCCTTCCTCTCTTTTCGCCTTTTCTTCCTCCCTCCCTCCCTCCCTCCCTCCCTCCCTTCATCGTCCCGCTTCCAGGGAACACGCTAGCTTGGGAAGGCGCTTGCCTGAACTACCACTGCCGACATCTCTATGCCTAGGAAACCGCGCCAGGCCTACTCGGCCTCGCTAGGCCGCTGGGGGCCGGACTCGCCGCTCCCGGAAGAGGAAGAGCCCGAATGGGCGGGACCGACTGACCCGTACCGCTCTGCCGCCGCCCACCGCCCGCGCGCCTTCCCCCGCGGGTCGCAGCGGCTCCGTGAGGAGAGCGAGGAGGAGGAGGAGGAGGAGGAGGACGACGGTGGGTCTGGCGGGGAGGCTGGGGGGAGGGCCGGGCGGGACAGCCGGGAGGAAGGGGCGGCCGGGGCGGGGGGGGTCTGCAGGGGCGCCGGGGAGCGAGCCTGGGAAGGGGCCGAGGAGGGGCGGGAGGGCGGTTGGTTGGCGGGAGCCGCCGCCCGCGGAGGGGGAGAGGAGGAAGCAGGCCTCGCCCGGCAGATGGCTTAGTGGCCGACCTTGTGTGTGTGTGTTTATACACACACACACACACACACACACACACACACACACAAAGAGACTCTGTGTGTGTGTGTGTGTGTGTAGGTGTACTGTAGATGATGCGTGTCTGCTACGTTCAGTTTGTCTGCCGTAGTTATTGAGCGTGTGTGTAACGTTTGTATATTTTGTGTCTGTGTAAATGCGTGTCTGCTCTCCATTCAGTTTGTCTGCCGTAGTTTGTGTGTGTGTAACATTTGTATATGTGTGTGTGTATACACACACACATACATACAATAAATACGGTATACAATACAAACTATGTAAGACACACGTAGAGAATGTCTCTAAGTGTGTATGTGTGTGTGTATACACACACATACATATATCTATTTACAATAAATACGGTATACAATACAAACTGATACATATACAGAGAGAATGTCTCTAGGTGTGTGTGTGTGTATGTATGTGTGTGTGTGTATATATATATATATATATATATATATATATATATATATATATATATATATATATATATATATATATGTAGGTCTTTGGTTATTCGGGTTTTCTCCCGCGTAAAATTGGGGATACATACATACATATATACATACATACATACACCTATACAATAAATACAATATACAGTACAAACTACGTGATATACACATAGAGAATGTCTCTAGGTGTGCGTGTACTCATACAGAGAGAATGCATCTAAGTGTGTTTGCCACAATTATTGAATGAGTGTCTATAACATGTTTGTGTCTCTGTGTGCATATATAATTACAGTATACAACTGGAGAGTGCATACACGTGATATTTAAATAGCTATAGAGAGGAAGGAGGGAGGGAAAGGGAGGACTGGCTAAGTAGGCTATATATACTGTAAATGCAACAACATATAGAGGCATCTTTTTTTAACTTTGTTTAAAAAAGATGTAACTTTGTATTCACTTACATTAAGATGTAACTTTCTATTTACTTTGTCTTTAGTGGGATAAAACTAATTTATATGCTTAATTCTTTTCTTGTATTTCTTAATTTCTCTTATGCCAACTATTAATTTATCTTGTGCCAACTTCATTGTTGGTCAGATGTTTATCTTGGAGTTAATCTACGCTCATCTGGGTGCTGATTGCTGCTGGGGAAGCAGTCAGCATCCAGATGAGCATAGATTAGCTCCAAGATTAACATCAGACAAAGACAATCAAGAAGTTAACAATAGCCCAATCAAGGAACTTCCAAAGAAGCCAACAGTAAACAGCCCAACCAAAGAGCCTCTAAAACCAACCCCACCCCCACTGACAGCAAACGTACTTCTTACTAGCACTGATGAGGTTACCTAATTTGGGTAATGAGATGACTGCAAGAAAACAACCCAAGTTCTCATTCCATGGAAAAGGATGATGGGACAGAAAGTCACCTTGAGGATCTATGATTTTGCATCCCCATTTTCATTCTAATCTGACTTTATTGATATATTTGATGGGACTATATCATGTGCCTATTGTAGGAAAAGGAACCCTCTAAGCGGGTTGAAAAGATTCCTGTCTTGAGAAGCTGAGAATACTCCTGCTTTTAGCAATAAATCAATTGAACCTTCCCTTGTGGACTTTCATGCCTGAGACCTAGGCCCCTTTGCAAGACCTCCAAAATGTTCTCACCACAATACCACAATTTATGCCTCACTGTATTTTTTCCACTATTATATATAATTATATTGAACAGGTAGTCTATAATTGTATGTATTATTAAGGCAAAAGTCTCTAGAGAAACAATGAGTTTGTGGTGTTTCTATTGTGATGGAAGCTGCAGGGTATCCTTTATCTGAGCTCTAGAATCACTGAGATGGAAGAAAGTTAAAGTTTGCTGCACATTCCCTTATTTTGGGGTCTACTATAACCCCAAGAACATTTAGCACAAAGAATGTGAAGGCTTCTGAGCCAAGCAAACAACCTTTCCAAATAACTCAAGCTAGCAATACACCATAAGGGAAATGCAAAAAATATATTTACCTGTCACATCAGCCTTATAATTATGCTCTCAAAAATGAATAACCTGATAGAAAAACAAAAAGTGGCAGAACAAAAATGGAAAATTCTACCTGATGTCCCCCAGATGTTTTAGACTTTATGACCCAGACAAAGAATTGTAGGAATGGTAGTTTAAAAAATGTAGAAGGCACCAGATTTTTTTATCTCTTCTGTGGGAAATCTTTTCTTGTAAAAAATGTTAATTATGGACAAGTCCATTTAACCCCATACTCTGTTGCTTCTTGGCATTCTGCCATAACACTGTAAGGGCAATTAAGGGAAGGGAAAGAGTTTTAGTATTTGTATCCAGAGAACGTGTTAATTTTATGAAGGAAAGCAACATTTTTAAGGGACTCAAATGTTTCCACTTTTTGACTTTCAATTTTTTTATAACACAGTAGTACTTTGGGAAAAAAAACTTCTTAAGTGACTTATCACTCTGAAGGTTTTCAGATATAAATTTTCTTCTGGAAATATTTTGAAATTATTTTTTAATTAGATTTTCTTTTTGAATTTAGAAACTAAAATGTCTTCATGGGCCAAAGTAAGCATAGATGAAGCACAAACACCTGATCCTGAAAAAAGGTAAAAAACACAATGATCTATGTTCTTTTTCCTCTAGTTTTAAAAACATCCCACTGCGTGTTTGCATTAAAAAAGATATATATATATATATATTAATCTCAGACTCCCATTTTTGTAGTGTAAAAATGTTAATGCGTTTTATATTTTTTTACACTCAGTTCAAAAGTTTAACTTTTTTAAAAAATTGCATCCTATACTTGATGGATACAAACGAAATACTGAACATTGATCTTTGCATTTAATCATATAAGATATAAATCTGGCTAAATCATTGAGAATTCTATGTGAAATTTAGCCCTTTAAATTTTCATTGAATCCTGGTTTCCTTCTTTACTACGGTTAGTGGCTACATTTCCTGCTGATGGCAGGCCCAAATTCACAGCTAATCCTGCCTAACATAAACTATCCGTGTGCTTCTGTGTTGCCTGTTCTTTGTTTTTCTGTTCATGTGAATAAATACATAAAACAAGAAATTGTGCCTCCCCTCTAAACCTATCATCACAGTTTGCTTGTTTGGTTGCTTGCTTATTTATTTATTCATGCAATTTGTATGGCTACCGAGCTTAACAAATTATTCTGGGCCTGCTGTTCCCATGCAAGCTGGTGTGTCTAATTTAGTTCCAACACCTGGCTTATACGTGTTTTTCAATCCGGATTCCATTTCAGGTGGAATCAAGAGTTATTGAACAATTGTGATGCTGTGGTTCAGTCACTAAGTTGTGTCCAACTCTTCATTACCCTATGGATTATAACACTCCAGCACCTCTCCCCTCCCCCACTGCCCCCCCCCAACTCCAGTGTCTCCTGGAGTTTGCCCAAATTCATGTTTATTGCCTCAATTACACTACCTGGCCATTTCATCCTCTGCTTGTGCCTTCAATCTTTCCTAACATCAAGGGCTTTTCCAATGAATCTTCTCATTTGGTGGCCAAAGTATTTATGCTTCCAATATCTCAGTGGTTCTCAACCTGTGGGTCGGGACCCCACTTGGGGTCGAACGACCATTTCACGGGGGTCGCCAAACCACGCTGTCCGCCATTTTTTCCCTTTTCCCTAGCTGTCCTACGCCTGTTTATTGGTGGCCACACCCACTTGGCCACACCCCTGGGGGGTCACCACAACACGGGGAACTGTATTATGGGGTCACGGCATTAGAAAGGTTGAGAACCACTGCAGTATCTGGCTCTGTTCCTTACCAACAACAAAACTTTAACACGAAACTTTGCAGAAGGAACAGAACTGACTGGCTGATTTTAAATCAGTGACTCTCAGTTCTCAATTGTGTGCTAGAGGAGATTTGTTATAGGTTGGTTGCCTTGAGCTTTCATAGGTGAGATACAAATGCAATAAATAACCCAATCAAAATGTTTGGCAGAGAGATGCAAATGGCAAATTCAAAGCAATATGGCCACCCAGGCAATTAATCCGGCTGCCTCATTAAGTCAGATTGTTGTTTACATTGATGGGCAGCAACTGCCTTCATTTTCAAATCTGTCTTTTCCCCAGAATTTCTGAAAATGGCAGCTATTGACCCTGAAACATTTGCATGCCAAGATACCCAGCTTCCCAGAAATTACCTGGAGTCTATGGTTACTGTCTA